TCTGTTTGTCAACAATCAAAAATTGATTTATTATCTCAACAAACTTCCTTAATACCTATGCCAACACTTCAATCAACATCAGAATTAGCTGAAGAACAAAAAACTTGTGATCATATGGCTCAGTTGGATATCAAGTCAAATTTACAATTATTAAGAGAGCAAGAAAAGGTGGCTCTACAATCTATTAAGAAATTAACTGAAGAAGAAATGATTCATATTGATCAATGGTTATCTGTATTACATAAAACATATGAAGATTGGGAATATCCATCATCGCATCGTGTATTTCAAGCAGTTACATATTTTAATGATGAACAAAAATTATGGTATGAACAGATAAAATCTGAAATTAATAATGATTGGTCATGCTTTTGCAATCGCTTAAAACAACATATTCAAGATCGTCAGAAGACTCAAATTCATCTTCCATCAATGAATCATCCATTATCCGATATTAATGAAATAACATCAATGGAAAATTTTATTGATACAAAATTTACTAAATATTCTGGTAAAGGTGATGCCAAGACTTGATTATTACAAACAATGAATCAATTTAAACAATATGGATTACGTCGTCTTGAACAAGTTCAAGCTATACCATTTTTATTAATTGATGAAGCTTATTTGTGGTACGTAGAACATATTGATTTAATCACCAGTTTCGAATTATTTATTAAATTACTTCTTCAACAATACTCAGCTACATCATCAACAGCACAAAATAATACTCCTGTAGAAATGGTTGCATCGTCGATTATTGCTCCAAATTTTTTACCTACATCACATTTACAGCAAACGATTGCTGATGAAATTATTAAAAAACCAACATATTTTCGTGGCTCAAAAGACGATGTTCATGATTGGTTAGATAAATTAGAACAACGTTTTAAAATGGCAAAATGGAATGACGAAGAAAAATTACAATATATTTCAATCCATTTACAAGATGATGCATATCGATGGTGGTCACAAACATCTACGACGATTAAATCATGGTCATCATTCACTGAAGCCGTTATAAAAGCTTTTGGATCAACAAAAGTACAAGAATTAGCATTTGAACAATTAAAATGGTACAAACAACCGGTTAATCAATCTATTATGCAATATTATGATAAAATTATTGAACTATGCAAGAAAATTGATCCAGCTATGCCTGACTCATTAAAATTAAAATATTTAATGGCCGGTATAAGAGAATCATTAAAATTACATGTTGCATTGCAAGATCCAAAAACAACTGACTCATTTTTATTACTTGCTAGAAAAATTGAAGATACATTATCATTTACCAGTACAAACAATGACGTGCACCAGGATGAGATTAACATCAATGTTACTACAGCTCAAAAATCGTTAGAACAAACAACTACTTCACAAAAATCAAGTAACAATATTCGACGAAATATACCTTCACACGCACAATCACTGTCACGTCCAAATTATCCACGTACTACACAAACTTCGTTTAAGCAAAATCAACGTTATGAACCTTCAAGATATTCACAATATGCAGAACGATCAAATTGCTGTTATAAGTGTGGTACTCCTGGACATTATGCTCGGGATTGTACCCGTACCCATTTCGGGTAAAGGAGGCAATGATCGGTGGTGTTGCTTCCAATACTTTATATAACAATCCATCGACACCAAATACATCTCTACTATATCTTAATGTTATTGTAAATAATAAAAAAATGAAGGTGATGATTGATACAGGTGCAAATCGATCTTTTATTTCAATTAAAGCACTAGATCCATCTTATGGTAAGCACCTTGTTAATAAATCACATAGTCGTATAATTTTAGCTGATGGTCATACATCTCTTTCTGTTTTTGGTACAATGACTCTATCTATTACAATGGGTGATATGTTAACTTCTATTAAAGCATTTGTTGTTAAAGAATTATGTGCTGATTGTATTTTAGGCATGGATTTCATTAATAAATATAAATTAATTATTAATACAGAAGAACAAATAGTTTCAATTAGTGATGATTATAAACGTACAACATTGAAATTTGCTGTTAATAAAAACGATATAAGATATCCTGCACGTTTAATTAATAATGTTCGGGTTTCACCAAAGCAAACAGTAACAGTTCCTGTATCGGTAGAATTATCATCAGCTCAAGTATTATTTCGTCCATCTTTTAAACTACAACAACGATCATCTGTCGTTATGTTAAATTCTGCATTAACTATTCATCATCATACATCATTTATTTCACTTCATAATCCAACAACTTACTCATATTCTTTACCAAGAGGAATTATTTTGGGAACAACAACTATTCCTACATTGTCTTTTAAAAGAAATTCAACTACTGATCATCAAATCGTACA